CTTTGATAAGAACCATCCCAATGTGTATGAGGAGCTATTTCACTGCAATTTTAATTTGCATTTCCCTAATGATTAATGATATTGAGCATCTTTTTATGTATATGTTGGCCAATATATGTCTTCTTTAAATAAATGTCTATTTAAAATCTTTGCCCATTTTTAATTGAGGAATACAATATATGTGTCTTGTATATATTTTTTCCCATTCCATAGAGTGCTTTTTTATTCTCTTGATTATTTCCTTTGCTGTGCAGAAGATATTTAGTTTGCTATAGTTCCAGTTGTCTATTTTTATTTTTAGTAATGACTATTGAAAGGTGAATAGATAAAGAAAATGTGATATTTACAAACAATGGCTATCATTCAGTCTTTGGAAAGAAGAATATCCTACTACATGTGATAACATGTACAAACCTCAAGGATATTATGCAATGTGAAATAAACCAGTCACAGAACAAAAACTGTATTTTGATTCCACGTTTATGACACATCTAAAATAGTGAGAATTATAGAAGCAGAGAGGCAAATAATGGTTGTCAGGAGCTGGGAATAGGGTAAATGGGAGTTTCTATTCAACATACAGAATGTTTCAGCTCTGCAAAATGACTAATAATCTAAAGATCTACTGTACAACATTGTGCATATAGTTAACAGCACTGTATTATGCATTAAAAAAAATAAGTAGTGTCATTCATGTTGAGTGTTTTTACCACGACTGAAAGAAAAATATACAAAAGAGGCAGGAGGAATCTTTTGGATGTGATGGATATATTTATTACCACAATTGTGGAGTAAGTTTATAGCTGTATATATATGTCAAAACTTATGAAATTGCATAATTTAAATATTGGTGTTTTTATATTAATTATACCACAATAAAGCTGTTAAAAATGAATTTTATTTGATATGTGAATAAGCACAGTGTTATTTCAGTGGAAGAGTGTGTTCATCACTGTGGTACATGTGATATATTTAGTAAAGGTCATATGTATAAAAATTTTTTTGAAGTGCTAGAATTTTGTTTTTTCAGGTAATTGTTTCAGGGAATTAATGTGTTCACTACACTGTGCAATGTGTAATACCCTAAGTGAAAACACATGTGCAAACAAATAATAAATGGAATCTACTGTATTAATGAAGTAAAGAACACAATGCCATCATCATATCAGCTAATGTAGCAACAACAAAACTTAAGAGTCATTCATGATAAATGCTCAGAGAAATGAGGATACAGGAGAAATTCCTCAACTTGAAAAAAAAAATCATCTACAAAAAAATGTATAGCTAGCATTATACAATGTGGTAAAAGTCTAAATGCTTCTCCACTAAGATCAGGAACAAGGTAAGGATGTCCACTCCCACCACTCTTATTCAACATAGTGCTGGAAATTAAGCCAGTGCAGTAAATCAAGAAAAATTGATAAGAAATTCAGACTGGAAAATAAATAAAACTGTCTGTATTCAACAGATGACATCACATCTACATGAAAACGTTCATGGAATCTCAAGACAAACAAACTAAACCAAGCAAATGAGTGAAAACTTTGAGAATCAATCTGTGAATTTAAAAAGTCCCAGATATCTCATACAGAGATAAATTGTATTTCTCTTTTAGTATGAACATGTGGACCTTGACTTTTAAAATTTAATACCATTTATAATATCTAAAAATATGAAATATATACAATTCTAACAAAAAATGTACAGACCTATATGGCAAAAACACCACAGTGCTGATGAAATAAATCAAAAAGGATCTAAATGAATAAAGAGGTATTCTATATTCATAGATTGGAGAGTTCAATATAGTATAGATGTCAATTGGATATACAGCTTCAGTGAGATTCCTAACCAAACCCCAGCACAAATACTTGTGGATATAGACAAGATTGTTTTAAAATTTAAGTGGAAAGAGAAAAGAATTGGAATAAAAAATTTTTTTTTGAAAAAGAAAAATGAGACCTAGGAATCATTATATCAAATTTCAAGATTTTTCATATAGTGTGATTGGTTGAAGGGTAGAACTATTAAAACAATGGAGCAAAAAAAAAAAAAAAAAAAAAGAGTTTAGAGATATATACCCCATTGATTTTTAGCAAAGATGCAAAGGCAGTTTAATGCAGGAAAAACAGCCTTTTCAACAACTGTAGTGAAAAAAGTGGACATTCATTGGCTAAAAAAATCATTTGAAAGAAGTTTCTCGTGTTATACAAAAATTAACTCAAAATCAATCGTGGATTGAAGAGTAAAACTCAAAACACTTTACAACTTAGGAAAAAATTGGGGAAGAAAATCTTCAGGATCTAGGGGTAAAACAAAGTTCTTATACTGGATGGTTAAAAAAAATCTGTAAGAGAAAAAAATACATATATAAAATGGACTTATTTAAAATGAAAAATCTTCATGAAAGACACTATTAAGAGGATGAAAGAAAAATTATAGAGTGGGAGAAATTATTTGCAAGCAACATATTTGAAGGACAAGTCTTTAGAATATATAAAGAACTCTCAAAACAAAATATTATAAAAACAAATAATTCCTTTAGAATATGGGTAAAAAGCATGAAGAAAAATTTAGAGATTAGAAAAACATGAAAAAATATTCAACATTTTTGATCACAAAGGAAATATAAAACTATGATGAGATATCATTACACAACTATTAGAATGACTAAAATAGAGAAATTACGACAACATGTAATGCTGACAAGAATGTGGGGAAACTAGAACACATATAAATTGTTAGTGGGAATACAAAACATTAAAATCATCAAATAAGATGGGCAGGCAGTTACTTAAAAAACTAATCATAACAACCAAATGACCCAACAATTGCACTCTTAGACATTTATCCCAGAGAAATTCATACAAAAATTCATATTCATACAAAAATCTATACCTAGCATTCATAGAAGTTTTATTTATTAACAGCTAAGTATGTAAAAGTTAATTTTTAAAAATGGAAACAACTGACCTATCTTTCCATTGGTTAAGTTGACCATTAAACCAATAAACTGTTAGACACTTATACCAGGAAATAGTACTCAGCAATAAAGGAGAGAGAACAATTGATACATGCAATGAATGATCTGGATAAATCTCCAGAGAATAATAATAATCTAGTTATAATAATAATAAAATGTTTTCCTTATTTGAAGATAAAATTACTCATATAGCCTGTATTGCAATGTGTCCATTAAATTAAGATTTATAAGAAATGGTTCCAGTATTTGGTGACACAGCACAGCTCCCTCTTAATCAATTTCATGAGTCAAGTAATATTGTGTAAACTTTTGAATGATTAACCACCTGTTTTTTTTTCACTTTTTTTTAAGATTTTATTAATTTATTTGAGAGAGAGAGAACGAGAGAGAGAGAAAGAGAGAGCACATGAGAAGGGGAGGGTCAGAAGGAGAAGCATACTCCCTGCTGAGTAGAGAGCTTGATGTGGGACTCCATCCCAGGACTCCAGTTTCATGACCTGAGCCAAAGGCAGTCACTTAACCCCTGTTTTTAAAAGAAGTTTCCATATTTAGGACTTTTTTTTCAGTTTTTTGAAGCATAAATATGTCTACCTTTTTTCAATATCTAAGAGTGCAGGCCCAGAAGTACATAGAGCTGTTTTCTTTTCTTTCTTTTTTTTTAAAATTATGTTCAGTTAGCTGTAGTGTTCAATGATTCATTAGTAGCGTATAACACCCAGTGCTCACCTTAGTGAGCCCTCCTTAGTGCCCTCCTTAGTACCCATCACCTTGTTATGCCCTCCCCCTCCTCCCCTCTGAAACCTTCAGTCTGTTTCCCAGGGTCCATAGTCTCTCATGGTTCATCTCCCTCTCTGATTTCTTCCCTTTCAGATTTCCCTTCTTTCCACTATGGTCCTCTGAACTATTGCTTATGTCCCACATATGAGTGAATCCATATGGTAATTGTCTTTCTCTGCTTGACTTACTTCACTTAGCATAATCACCTCCAGTTCCATCCAGGTCAATGCAAATGGTGAGTATTCATCCACTCTGATGGCTGAATAATATTTCAAACCATGTATGTACCACATCTTCTTTATTACATTCATCTGTTGGAGGGCATCTCAGCTCCTCCACATTTTGGTTATTGCAGACACTGCTGCTATGGACATTGGGTTGAAAATGCCCCTTCTTTTCACTACATCTATATCTTTGGAGTATATACCTAGTAGTGCAATTGCTGGGTGATAGGTTAGTTTTATTTTTAACATCTTGAGGAACCTCCATACCGAGAATGACATTATAGATTAAGGGCTGATATCAAAGATGTATAAAGAACTTCTCAAACTCAACACTTACAAAACAGCCCAGCCAAAAAATGGGCAGAAGACATCAACAGACACTTCTCCAAAGAAGATGTACAAATGGTTAACAGACCTATGAAAAAACGTTCAACATCAATAGCCATTAGGGAAACACAAACCAAAATCACAATGAGATACCACTTTATGCCAGTTAGAATGGCAAAAGTTAATAAAACAGGAAACAACAAATGTTAGTGAGATGTGGAGAAAGGGGAACCCTCTTATACTGTTGGGAATGCAAACTGGCACAGCCACTCTGGAAAATAGGATAGAGCTGTTTTCAAATATAAGTTCCATATCTCATGAGCTCTGTATTTTAAAGCAAGTTATTTAACTTCCTAAAGATTCATGTCTTCATATACAAAATGGACTAAAACAGCAGTAACCTCATAGGATTGTAAATCTGGAATATCTTAACACTTCTATAAATTGTGTGCATTGTTAATATTTTGTTAGAGAAATTACATTAATTTCTTATATAGAAACTCAAAGTAATTTGAAAGTTTACCAGTTACTTATTATTGGGATAAACATTAGTCATTTAAAATTTTGTCTTGAAAATGTAGTAATTGGACAATTTTATATAGAAATTCCTCAGCTAAAATATTTTTTAAAGCAGAATATGACTGGTCAGTTGGTTAAACTAGTTTACATTTTGTGTAAAAATGGATTACCTGCCAAACCAAATGGATCACCAGGCAATTTTCTTTGCTTAATTTCAGTGTGTTCTCTTTCAGATGGCTCCTCCAATGAGCTGTCTTGTCCTACTTGCAAAATCAATCCTATAGTTCAATCAGAATCACTTTAAATGTTCAAGAAGACTGCACTCTGTCATTTAAAGACCCAAATAGTACAAAATTGAGATAAAGTCTAACTTGTGGTTTTCTCTTATTTTTTACTGTACCTGAAAAGTTCATTCATTCGTTGTTCATGCATTTGGACCTAAACTACAAAACAACACTTTGCCATATTCAAATGCTTTAGCAATGAATTAACCAGCTATAATTAAGCTTACATATAACACATCCAAATAATTATATATAAATTATACAGTTATAGATACATATAATTATATATGTAATACACAATATAAAAATGCATATTGTGCAAGTCAGACAGATTTGTACAGGATGAAAAGTATACAGGATATAGATTGTGACTTTCCATTCAACTATTCACTTCCTTTTTTTTTTTTAAGATTTATTTATTTATTTGACACAGAGAGAGAAAAAGAGACAGTGAGAGAGGGAATATAAGCAGGAGGGGTGGGAGAGGGAGCAAGCTTCCTGCTGAGCAGGAAAAAAAGTTAAAAAAAAATAAAAGGGTGCCTGGGTGGCTTGGTCATTGGGCGCATCTACCTTTGGTTCAGGTCGTGATCCCAGGATCCTGGTGTTGGGCCCCACATAGGACAATTCCCTTCCTTAAATAACCACAGAATAATATACTTTCTTGTGTTATCTTTACAAAACAGTTAAAAATGTTATGTACACAAATGTATAATATATATAATCATATACACATGCAAATACACATATAAAATTATTTTACTTAAACATCACAAAATACATGTATAAACACACATACTTACTATGTCTGATTCACTTAAGTTATTTGCATCTCTTTCTATGTATCTCTTATCTATATCTATTAGCATTTGGTCATTTGTCATGGATGCATCATATTAACATGAATTATTTATAATAATTTGTTTGATGCTCCCCTCAATAGACATTAACAATATTTACAAGAATTTTTATTGTTCACAATTTCAACTAATGCTTGAGTTCTTTCTTATTCATAAATATACATAAAATAATTATCTTTTTTCAATCAAATCAGATTAAGTATTTTTGTACATTTGTAAAAGTAAAATGCAAACTTGTAAGATTATTTAAAAATAATGAACTTGTAACTAACAAACAATTACCAATATGTATTTTATAAAAAAATGTTATCGACCTGTATAGACACAGCTCTATGCTGATCTTTAGCATCTATTGGCTACTTCGAGGGTAATATGGATTAGTAATTTATAGTATACTATTTAATGTTTAAAACTCCTCCCCAAAAACACCTGTCCCAGTTTGTTTATATTGTTTAGAGAGGTTTACATGGTGGCTTACCCTGGTTTAACCAGATACACATCTTGGTTTGCCTACATGCACCAGTAGAGCATAAAAAATTTCCAGAAACTTTTCCTGAGGCTCTCCAAAAACCAAGATTCCTTGTATATATCTTGGTGACTTACAATACAGATATGAAGTACATCCTCTATAACTAAGAACATTCCTCAAAGCTCCTGTTCTTGAATGTGGTTTCTTTCTCCTGTTGTACCATATCCTTTCTCTGCATTAAAACTAAAACCTTATGTGAGCAAAATATGTACAGTATTGTGAATTCTTTTAATTATTCAGACCTGTGAAATAGTTGTGTGTGTGTGTATATGTAAGTTATAGTTGATATATATATCTAACAATATGCATGTATATATCATTATATGATCAGACAATGAACATTATTAGAACAGAGACCACAGTGGAGGCTTTCAAGCTGATTCATAGAGTAAGTCTTGGTTTGCTTTGGTGATTGAAATAATTAAAATTTTATTTTTTAAAGATTATTTATTTGAGGAGGGGGAGAAAGGGGGGGAGAGAGAGAGAGGGAATGAGTACACTTTGGGGGAGAGGCAGAGGGAGAGAATCCTTAGGCAGACTCTACACTGACCAGAGAACCAGGGTCCTGAGATGAAGACCTGTGTCAAAATCAAGAGTCCTCAGATTAACTAATTGAGCCACCCAGGAACCCCTGTATTTGAACATTTTGAAGAATACAATTACCATTCATTTCACCATATCTTGTCATTTTTGTAATTTTAGTGCTATCTTGAATTACTTCTAATATATCAATAAGCATTTGGTAGTTGTGTTTTTAAATTATTTTCAATACACTTGAATGCCTATATAATCTTTTCCCATTTATTGGTTCCTTATTTTTATATAATCTTTTTATATTATTCTGCAAACATCTGCTGATTTAAAAAGATAAATTTCTGTATTGGTTTCTTCAGGTATCTCTTTCTTAACAGTTTTTGACTAAAAATAGAAGCTGGTGAATGAGTTTTGCATATGTAGATGGCTTCACTTTAAAGGATACAGGCAAGGGGTATGCTATAGGAAATAGAGCCCTTTCATCTACTAGAATACCCTCATTTTGGGAAACTTCTCAAAACTGCTCTCATAGAATATTTATATCTGGAAAAACTGGCATTCTGGAGGATCTGAAAGCAAGACAGATTTCGTTTCTCCTTTTATTGTTGTAGTAGATTGCCAATGGCTATGGTCACCCTACTTCTTGTATTCATTGCCTTGGGTAATCCTCTTGGGCTTTAAGTCTAGTCTCAGTCATGTGAGTTGTTCCAGTCAATAGGAATTGTGACCCAAGCAGAGATCTGAAATGTTTGTACATTGGGATTTACCCCCCTTCTTACTGCCAACATGTAAATAAACTTGAGTTAGCCTCTTGGATGGCTGGGAATGCCTTTAGAGAGTGGGAAATGACCATCCCCAAAGTCCCAAGAATAACCATAATTATAGTCATCTCAGTTGATTTCTGGATATGTGAGTGAGGCCATTCCAGACCATCTAGCTCTACCCACTGGGCCTGACAAAAATAATCTCCCAGCCAAACCAATGCATTATGAAAAATAAATAAATAAATAAATAAATATTTTCTTTTGTTTTGAGCCACTGCATTTTAAGATGATTCATTTTAGATAGCAAAATCTGATACATGTAGATATTTCTTAAATCTGGACTATTGATATAAGTTTTTAGGAAATAATTTTTTGGAAGTGCAGACATTTTATGGAAGCACCTGTAAGGATTATTAATTTCCTAACACATTCAGTTGTTAAAAGCACAAACATGATTTTTACTTTTAATGTAGCCTATATAACAAATGAACAACACAGTGATAATCTTTTAGGCATGAACATTTTCCAAAACCAGAAAATAGTTGTTCCTCTTACACCCTTGTGTTTGATTTTCTTTGTCCTAGTCAAGAATGCCTAGAGCTACATTGCTATAATCTTTGTGGAACAAGTTACTTCTATAGCATTTGTGTAAAAATAACATAAAAAAAAAAAAACTAACATCAATTCTCATTAGTTAACTCTGCTTTTCTTTTATACCAGTGCTTGTTTATAAAACCATGTTCATAATAATAATCAAGGTTTCATATCTGCCAATGTATGTTACTTTCTTAATGCTAAATTTTCTTCAATATGTTCAAAAACCACCATCTGTTTATTACAATTTTTGATAAAATGGATTGGAATCGACACAATTTTCCAAAAAAAACAACTGGTAGGTGACAAATAAAAGTCCACACTGCTATTAATATTTTTAATGACCGCCAACTAGAAAGAATTTTTAAAAATCATATGATATAGATGAGTTAAGATGGAAAGCAAAAATTCCCTGCCCTGATACTCCCACATCCGTCCCTCTGACTAAAGGCAACAATTGAATCATTTCTGTTTTGGGGTTCCAATTAGTTCTCAGGTGTTAACCTGGCTTAATCTTTCTGACACTCTATATTGCAGAGAAGAAGAGTTCAAGAACTGACTAGTATAGTGACTTCATGATTAGGGCTTTAATTCTGGAGTCTGTTTTCAGTCCCAGTGTTGACCCTTTCCAAGCTTTTACCATGTCTGGAAAATCTCCAGTATTCTGCCTGGAGAACTGACTCCCACTTTCACAGCAGTCTGATATGGAATCTATTTTGGAAAAATGCTTTCTTTTCTCATTTTCATTTGTGAACTTACTTCCAATGGCTTTATACTTTAAAAAAAATATGTTAGTATCTTTCATCCTCTTATACCTCTCCCTCAGTAATCTCAGCTTTTGTAAGTTTATTCTCTTTTGCATCATTTTATTTTCATTCTAATAAGATCTCTTGAGAGCGTAGGGAGCAAGATACACATGCCTATTTAGCCATATGCTGGTGAATCAAATAAATATGCACCAAGTACTGATGTTGGAAAAGCTCCACAGTGATGTTGGTAAATATTTCCTGCCTTTCAGAAAAATTAATTATAAAATTTGCCAGAATCTGTACTGTTATTTTCAGTATAGATTTTATTATTATTTGTTGTTATTTTCAGCTCTATTTGAAATACAATATTTGTATGATTAAACTGAGATCTCTGACCTGAAATTGCCCAATCTTTTTCTCCATGTACTTAGTAAAAACAAATTGACAATAATAACAAAAGATTAACTAATTAACAACAACATTAAGGCTTTTTTTTTCCCCAAAGGGTAACAATATTGGATATGACTAATGAATTTGATGAGGTCAATTCATACATTTCATGACGTTTTGTACAAGAGATCATGTCTGATGACTTGTTTGCAAACTGTAGATACAGAAAAGTGAATTAGACATACCATATCATTGGGTTAGTTGTATTCCGTTATGCTGCAAATCTATTAATTATAATCTTAAAAACATGTACTATTCATTTTGAGCATACTGCAATTCATCTTTTTTGCATGTGAGTACTGTGTCCTTTTCTTCCTGCCATTGATTGTTTGTTTGTTTTATCAACTGCATCATGCTTAACTGACCATTATTGCTCTAAGTTTTCTAGTTAAGGGACAAACTCCATATTTATTTTCAAATATTGTAATAATATTTACTTTTATTGATTTTGATCTTCATAAATTATCATCCAATATTAGCTGGGTAGATGGTAAGTAGATTGCATTTTTTTTCTTATTTATTTTTAAGAAGAAAGTATAGAACAGACTTTAATTGTATTCTTT